TTTAGGAGTTACGATAAACAACGACGAAGATAAATGACAGAATGTTGAAAATGTAAGATTTGACCTAGTTCTTGACCTTTGACCTAGATAAGAATTTGACCCAATTTCCGAGGAACAAGATACTGGACATAAATTGACTGAATAATGATCTTTATTGGAAGCCTTATGGTTATCGAGAAAACTGGGAAAGAATAATAAAGAATAATAACTAGATTTGTAAATTGAACAAAGTTCAATTTAAGACTCCAGATTGTTTGATTTGACCTAGATAGCTGAGTAAGTAGCCCAGTAAGAAGCTGTGTAGAAAGCTGAGTAAGTAGCTAAATAGGTAGCTGAGTAAGTAGCTAAGTAGATAGCTGGGTAGTTATGTAGGAATTTTTGAAAGTATATTTCATCGATCTGCATTCTGAATACTGGCAGAGAATCTTAACTGAAGATTCAGATTCCTGAGAAAATTCTACCCTTAATTCATAACTCATATGTTAAATTTGAAAACCTTTTTATTTTGACCTACTTTTCGGACACCATATCTCAGAAGTGGGTCAAAATACTTTCTGACGGCAAAAGGCTAACATTATTAGCATACTTTTTGCTACCTGTATACAAAATTTCAAAGCAAATCATCAAAGTGTAATGTCAGAATCGCAAAAATAAGGAAAAACTATGAATTTGACCTAGGTTTTGACCTAGGCATTTTGGTGTCTAAATTTTGAAGCTATTTAGCATTCGAGGTCCCCTTCTTTTATAGGCTTTCAGAATGTTAAGCTGTACTCAGTTCATATCTCGTATTTTACACTTCAAAAAAATCATTTTTCTTATTGACATAACATAGGGCACCAAATTTAGCGATTTTTGAGCTTTCAAACGCCATAACTTCCAAACTGAGTCGGATTGAAATTTGGTTTGCAGATTCGGATTCCTGAGAAAATTCTACCCTTAATTCATAACTCATACGTTAAATTTGGAGAACTTTTTATTTTGACCTACATTTGGGACATCATATCTCAAAAGTGATTCAAAATACTTTCTGACAGCAAAAGGCTAACACTATTAGCACACTCTTTGCTACCTGTATACCAAATTTTGAAGCAAATTATTAAAGTGTAGTGTCAGAATCGTAAATATAAGGAAAACGTGAAGCTATCTAGCTTTTGAGGTCCCCTTCTTTTATAAACATTCATTATGTTTATGTTAAGCTGTACCCAGTCTATGTCTTGTATTTTACACTTCGAAAAAGTCTTCTTTCCCATTGACTTAACATGGGGCACCAAATTTAGCGATTTTTGAGATTTCAGCGCTCTATATCTTCCGAACCGGAAGTCGGATCGAAATTTTGTTTGCAGATTTGGATTCCTGAGATAATTCTACACTTATTTGATAAATCACACGTTGAATTTGGAGAACTTTTTATGTTCTGACCTACTTTTCGAACGTCATTTCTCAAAATTAACTTTTTTTCTAAGGAACAAGATGAAAAAAAACTGGAGCAAAAATACCGAAGGATTGAGAAAACTTGTAAAATAGTGAAAACCCACGATTTGACCTAGTTCTTGACCTTTGACCTAGATAAACATTTGACCTAATTTCCCAGAAACTAGGCCTCATTACCTAGTTGACTGTGTTAGCAGATTTAAGTAAGTCATTCTAGTTGCTGAGAAAACATGAAAAGAGAGAATAATAATAATAACTAGACTTTGGAAATTGAACAAGTTCAATTTCAGACTCCAGATTACAGATTCTTTTTAGTTGATAGATTAGATACATAAAGATTAGATTAGATAGATAAGTAAGGAACATCAATTATCGAATTGATGATTAGATAAATAGATCAATTTTCAATATTTTTTTCAGTTCTCTTGACTTTCTATAAGGATACCATCAGATTGATTTTTTTCTTTCATAGGCTTTCATTATTTTAAGCTGTACTTAGTCTATATCTCGTATTTTACACTTCAAAAAAATCTTTTTTCCCATTGACATAACATGGGGCACCAAATTTAGCGATTTTTGAGCTTTCAAAATGTCATAACTTCCGAAACAGAAGTCGGATTGAAATTTGGTTTGCAGATTCGGATTCCTGAGAAAATTCTATACTTAATTCATAACTCAAACGTCAAATTTGGAGAATATTTTATTTTGACCTACTTTTCGGACACCATATCTCAAAAGTGGGGCAAAATACTTTCTGACGGCAAAAGGCTCACACTATAAGCACACTCTTGGCTACATGTATACAAAATTTCAAAGAATATAATTAATCTGTAGTGTCTGGATCGCAAAAATAAGGAAAAACTTTGAATTTGACCTAGATTTTGACCTAGGCATTTTGGTGTCCAAATTTTAAAGCTAGATGGCTTTTGAGGTCCCATTCTTTTAAAAGCTTTCATTATATTTAGCTGAACTCAGTCTATATTTCGTATTTTTCACTTCAATAAAATCTTTTTTCCCATTGACTTAACATGGGCTCCAAATTTAGCGATTTTTGAGCTTTCAAAACGCCATTTCTTCAGAACCGGAAGTCCGATCTAAATTCCGTTTTCAGATTCGGAATCCTGAGAAAATTTCCTATAATTCTAATATCCTGGACATTTGATTCGGAGAAGTTTTTTTTGGACCTTGTTTTCGGACACTGATATCTCGAAATCGGTTTGAGATATCAAAAAACTAAATCGATCCTAGCTTTCCTACTTTTTTATAAGGAACACAATGGAAAAAAAACGGATCGAAAATATTGAAGGACGATCGAGAAAATCGAAAAAAGTGACAAAGTACTGGATTTGACCTAGTTCTTGACCTTTGACCTAGATAAAAGTTTTACCCAATTTCCCAGAAACTGGATACTGGACCTAAATTGACTGGATAATGATCTTAATTGGATACCTTATGGTTGTTGAGAAAAGGCTTCCAGTACAATAATAATAATAAAGAATAATAAAGAATAATAATAAAGAAAAATGACGAAAACAAGACTCCAGATTTCATCTGGAGTCTAATAATAATAATAAGAAGAAAACTGGCAAAAGCAATAGACTCCAGATTTTCAATCTGGAGTCTAATAATAAAGAATAATAATAAAGAATAAGAATACTGACAAAAACAATAGACTCCAGATTGACATCTGGAGTCTAATAAGAAAACTGGCAAAAGCAATAGACTCCAGATTTTCAATCTGGAGTCTAATAATAATAATAAAGAATAATAATTAATAATAAATAATATCTTTAAAATTTATAGGGGGCCTCCTAATAATAATTATAATATCTATAAAATTAATAGTATAGCACAGTCTGCATATGGTGCCTATGCATGTTTGATGTGAAAGTATAGATTTTTAGATAGTAGAGAGATTTTGCACATAAGTGAAAGTACAACATGTACGTATACGTATACTTTAAAGGGTGATGTCGAACTATTATATTTACTAAAATCAATTTTAAATTGTACTTAATGGAACATAACTATTCCCGATATAGAAAAGCTCCATCAACTAGAGTGTGAATGCACTGTCATCTGCACGTGTAGATTAGGCACATTATAATTAAATGCTTGTTTCCGTGTCCTAGTAGTTGTAGTGTATTATAACCACGATCCTTTAAAGTGAGTCATTACATAAACAAGTTGATTATTTCAAAGTTTTCATGATCAGTATAAGTGCAATGAACTTACAAAACGGTATAAAAACGTAGATGATAAACGTATACACTTGGATCTCCGTATAAAGCTTTACCTACATGTGTGTGGAACAATTGACCGCAAGCATTTTTAAAATTAATTGGCTGAGTAGGAACAGTATCCAATCAAATACTTTAACCATCAATTTGAAACACCAATCAAACCAGTAGGTTCTAGGAATTCCTGGAAACGACCCATTCAGTAGCTCAACAAATGACATACAGGGTGTTTCATAACGAGCATCTCCAAAAAGTCAATTTGAGAAGAGATGGGTCTATAATAGCCTTGCCCAAGTTGGTCTCCTTTACTTATATTGATTTCTATTATGACCGCCTTGTACCAAAGAGAAAGCCACATGCTTTACCGACAGAATGTTTATGTCGGTAAAATTTGACCAATCAACGATGGCCCTGCAGCGCTAGCTCATTATTATGCACGGTCAAAAACAAGTACACTTTTCACCGGGACTCCTCACGAACAAATCTTGCACGAATTCATCATGAAAATACAAATATTTTATCAGATAAATATCAATCAGAGTCTAGTGGATGCCGGATCATCGATCGGATAACCGGAGATGAGAAGATTTCAACAATAAACGTTGAAAAGATCGCTGAATTCAAATGATTGAACGTGTAGGCTGAGATTCAATCACTGATCGATGACTACATGGCCCGCTGCATGGACTAGGTCTTCGTACATTTTCATCGCGAAATCAGTTTTAAATCAACATTGAATCGCATGATTTAATTTATATTAACTCTTACATTCCAATGTACATTTAATTACACTGGAAACACTCGATCAGATTGAATTTCAAGTCGTAGACGGGAAGTTTGCTTGGTTTATGCTGGTCAACCTGATAACATTTTGATTGGTCAATCAGCCTGAAGTCACACGTCGTGTCCACGCGATCTGTCAACCAATATAGGTTTCGCGATACCCCTGTTAGCATAGGTATTATGGAAATCTCGAAACCGCTGAATAACTCAGCATAATATCAGCGCAGGTGTATTGGATTGTACAAGGTGGTAAAAATTCAAGATCAGATTCGTAAAAAATACCGCCTATGGCAAGGCTAGGTCTATAACATATGTACTATATATGAGCCTATTTTATTCTAGACAAACACATTTGGATCAACTAAACATGCTGCAATTCAAAAAAGAACAAATGGCATCCCTTTGACCTTTATTTATTACAGTCCGAGAAGATCTTTCCTGACGAAAATCCCACATTATGAAACATTATGTCATGGTTTATCATGATGGTAGTAATGGGAGAAAATTATGTTTGTGTAAATTTCTAATTGTTGTTTGATCTCATAGGTCTGTATAGCAAACAAGAGCCAGGTGGTAAAGGTGTATGATACAGAGGCAGCTGACTTTGTGGAGGAATTTGATTTTAAGGGAGGCACAGGAAGCATCAAAGGACTTGCTAAATATGACAAGTAAGCTTAATGAAATACACATATCACTTCACCCTATGCAGACAGAGCCTGTGGGAAATATTGGGTGCGGAGCAAATGAGCGGAGGGTGCGGAGCTAACGGTCATTTTTGAATTTAAATTTGGGATATTTCTGAAACTAAGCCGTTTTGGTGCGGCGCAAATGAGCGGAGGGTGCTGAGCTAACGGTCATTTTTGAATTTAAAATTGGGGTATTTCTGAAACTAAGCCGTTTTGGGACTTCAAATATACCAAGATATGTGTATTTGACACCAAATATCAATACAATTGTGAAAATAGTAGCGCAATTCATTCTATAGCGACGCAGTGTGCCTTAAACCTTTCCCAGACCGGAAATGTATTTCAGATATGAGCCCCCTCTAAATATTGGGTGCGGAGGAGCTCTATAAACGTACCTCCGCACCCAATATTTAGAGGGGGCTCATATCTGAAGAACATTTCCGAATTTTTATAAAATCACACAGATACTGCCTGGCTTCCAAGATGCAAAAATAATTTGCATGGGTAGTGTATCTTGAACACCATTTTTATGTCACCACCAAAAGTGGTGACATATTGTTATGGTCTCCGTTTTTTTGCGACGGCGGTTGGTGGTTGGAGGTTGGCGTCCGGCGTCCGGCGTCCGGCGTCCGGCGTCTGTAACAATTTCTTACAACTTCCTATAACTTAACAAATACTGTTTAGACTGACTTCAATTTATTTCTAAATCATCTACATGTTCTCAGAAGTTCAAATCTGACTTTACATTAGACATTTGACCTTCAATGACCTTCTCAAGGTCAAAAAGGTCTTTTTTCAACTTGCTTCACATTGACTAAAATTTTTTTCAAAATCATCTACATGTTCTCAGAAATTCAAATCTGACTTTAGATTTGACTTTAGATTTGACATTTGACCTTCAAATCTGACTTTAGATTTGACATTTGACCTTCAATGACCTTCTCAAGGTCAAAAAAGGTCAAAAAGGTCTGTTTTCAACTTGCTTCAAATTGACTAAATTTTTTTTTCAAAATCATCTACGTGTTCTCAGAAATTCAAATCTGACTTAAGATTTGACATTTGACCTTCAATGACCTTCTCAAGGTCAAAAAAAGGTCAAAAAGGTCTGTTTTCAACTTGCTTCAAATTGACTAAACTTTTTTTTCAAAATCATCTACGTGTTCTCAGAAATTCAAATCTGACTTAAGATTTGACTTAAATTTGACATTTGACCTTCAATGACCTTCTCAAGGTCAAAAAAGGTCAAAAAGGTCTTTTTTCAACTTGCTTCAAATTGACTAAATTTTTTTTTCAAAATCATCTACATGTTCTCAGAAATTCAAATCTGACTTTAGATTTGACATTTGACCTTCAATGACCTTCTCAATGTCAAAAAAGGTCAAAAAGGTATTTTTTCATCTTGCTTCAAATTGACTAAATTTTTTTTTCAAAATCATCTACATGTTCTCAGAAATTCAAATATGACTTTAGATTTGACTTTAGATTTGACATTTGACCTTCAATGACCTTCTCAAGGTCAAAAAAGGTCAAAAAGGTCTTTTTTCAACTTGCTTCAAATTGACTAATTTTTTTTTTCAAAATCATCTACATGTTCTCAGAAATTCAAATCTGACTTTAGATTTGACATTTGACCTTCAATGACCTTCTCAATGTCAAAAAAGGTCAAAAAGGTATTTTTTCATCTTGCTTCAAATTGACTAAATTTTTTTTTCAAAATCATCTACATGTTCTCAGAAATTCAAAAATTCAAATATGACTTTAGATTTGACTTTAGATTTGACATTTGACCTTCAATGACCTTCTCAAGGTCAAAAAAGGTCAAAAAGGTCTTTTTTCAACTTGCTTCAAATTGACTAATTCTTTTTTTCAAAATCATCTACATGTTCTCAGAAATTCAAATCTGACTTTAAATTTGACATTTGACCTTTAATGACCTTCTCAAGGTCAAAAAAGGTCAAAAAGGTCTGTTTTCAACTTGCTTCAAATTGACCAATTTTTTTTTCAAAATCATCTACATCTTTTCAGAAGTTCAAATTTGACTTTACAAGTTCTCAGAAGTTCAAATCTGACTTTAGATTTGACATTTGACCTTCAATGACCTTCTCAAGGTCAAAAAGGTATTTTTTCAACTTGCTTCAAATTGACTAAAAAAAATTTTCAAAATCATCTACGTGTTCTCAGAAGTTCAAATCTGACTTTAGATTTGACTTAAGATTTGACATTTGACCTTCAATGACCTAACTAGGTGGTGACATTTTGTCATGTTAATGCCTTGTTTATGAATGCTGGGAACGCAGTATTAAAAGGATAGTCTCAAAATATATAGGTCTGGGAAATGTTTAAGGCATAATGCGTCGCTATAAAATGAATTGCACTACTATTTTCACAATTTTATTGATATTTGGTGTCAAATACACATATCTTGGTATATTTGAAGTCCCAAAACGGCTTAGTTTCAGAAATATCTCAATTTTAAATTCAAAAATGACCGTTAGCTCTGCACCCTCCGCTCATTTGCGCCGAACCCAATATTTCCCACAGGCTCTGTCTGCATAGGGTGCACCTCTTTAAATTGAAATGCTCTAGTGATTTCCCCAGAATTTTTACAATAGGGTTCTCATTCCTTATTTGAGCTATTTTTGTCAAAATTTGCATCTTTTGACATGTTGGCATGCAATTTTGAAAGTTTCAAAAGTTACCTGTTTGTTTGTTATTATCCCACTGAACGAAGTTCGAGGGGGATATAGAAAAGTCGTCCGTCCGTCTGTTAGCGTGTCAGGGCAATACTGGTTGACAGATTTTATTCAAAGGACAGGTGGCGGTAAACCCCTCTTTTAGCCCCCCTACAAAACAAGTACATATTGACATGGAATTGAAGAGGAAGTATGACTTATTACTTAAAATGTGATTTCTGAGAATTTTGACATTTGACCTTGACATTAGGGTGGTTTAAAGGTCAACTTTGAGAGATGCTATTTTTGTCAAAATTTTGCTATTTTCTAATACAAGAAATGAAAGCAATAGGCTTAATTTTGATTGTGACTGATAATAAGACATGTGAATGGAAATAAAAATATTCTTAATAAATTCTCATGGGCAATTACAAGAAAATCTTTCAGAATAAATCCCCATATGGGCAATTTTAGAGGGACTAAATTTTCCTGTTTCAAAAATGAATGTTCTTGTTGCCTTTTGAGACTCCAACAGTATCCTAAGCATGTTTTCAGAATTGGGATGTGATTATTGTTTTAATGCCCATGGGCAATTAGGATAACATGATTGCAATTAAATGCACACAAGGGCACTTCAATGAGAATGGATTTTCTTATTTCAATTGCTTCTCACCAGTTTTCTAAACAGGTTTGCCATATTCTAAATAGTTATAGGGTCACTTTTAATAAATGCCCATTGGCATTTGCTTTGGAATTTGACACTTAATTTTAAAGTAATTTGCCAATTTGCAGTTCCCATATTTGAAACACAAATAATTCAGAGAAATCCTCTTTCAATATATATCATAAAATATAAGGCAGCATCATGTATAAATGGTATGACACTCAAAGGATTGCTTTAAATTCTCTACTTATACCCTATTTAGAAAAACACTTGGGCCATTCAAAGATGTTTTTATAATTAATGTCACTAAATTCTATGTTTTCAGAAAAAACAAAATGTTTCCATGACTCTGTACTTGTAATGTATATAAATGACAAAGGGAATTGTGATCTTGGATTATATTGTAGTGAAATGAGTTCCAAGATTGATTAAAAACTATTTGAGGACTTCCCCATCTTGACTGAAGACGATGTATGTCAACTCACTTTTGGTGTATATCAAGCCAACCAATCTAAACGATACACAGATAACCATCTTCAAGTAGATGGGAAATATTTGGCCTAATTTGTGAAAGCCCAGTAATAGGTTTGTGTCCTCTAAATCTCACTACACATGGGTGGAGTACAACCCAGATCCAGATGTATGTAATAGTATTGATGCAATCACTGGATGGTGTTGTTCATGCCCAGTTGGGAGTAGGGCTCTAGGCACAAGGGGTATAAAAGCAAAAAGAAATGAACAAAGTTTGACATTTAAAAATCAAAAGATATGTATGAAATGTTGTCATCTGAAGAAGATGATGATAGCTCATAGAGTCTCTTATGAACAAACACATGAATGTGCTCATCTACAGAAGTACAACAGTTATGTAAAGTCCAGCGTAACCTTTTATAAATTGTTATATTTTATGTATTTTCAAATGTTGCCCTTGTGCTTTCTCACTGTGATGCAAAATAATGAATTCAGTATTTTACTGCCACTTTAAAATAAACTGTTTATGAGCAATTGATCTCAAGCAGATCAATATTTGATTGATTGTTATGCATTTTTGACTTGTTAATTATCCCAACGAACTTCTCCCAACGAACGAAGTTCGTTAGGGATATAGTGAAGCCCTCCGTCCGTCCGTCCGTCTGTCCGTCAGTCCGTCAGTCCGTCAGTCAGTCAGTCCGTCAGTCAGTCAGTCAGTCAGTCAGTCAGTCAGTCCCTCCGTCTGTCCGGAAGATAACTCAAATACTAGTTGACAGATTTTCTTCATATTTAGTGGAAAGATGTATATTGGTGAATAGTTTTACGCAAAAAAAAAACGGGACTTTTTCGCAAAAATCATAAATCTTTTATTCTAAACCAAAGTAATTAATATTATTGTTTAAAATTTTGGTTGTGTATTCACAACATTTATCTATTTCACATATATTCCGTGTTTTTCATCCTGACCCCCAGGGGCCATGTATGGGGGAACAGGAAAACAGAAATTTTCGCTTATTTTTAGATCTTTCTGAAGTATAGCTTTATTATACCCAAATGAAAGGCAATTAAGAGTAGATTGCAAATATTGTATCGAGCCTGATTCAAGCCTCGTAAAATTCAAAATGGCCGTCTAATGTACGATTTCGCAATAATTTTTCGATCCCTTCAAAGTATGG